GTGTTCAGAAGGCAGCTCTTTTTGGGCAAGAACATTGTGACTTTATAGGCACTTATTTTTCTTGTTTGCTAAATAATGTAATGGTGTTTTTTTTCCAAGGCTTAATTGCTCAGAAAAAACCTTTCCTGTGTCACATTTTCTACTGTAAAATAAAATATATTTTTGGCTTACGTTAATAACCTGTATAATTTTGACTTTGAGGAATTGATTACCTTTATGTTCTATTAAATTATAATCTAGAAACAGCTGAGCACTCTTAATAGATTTTCCAACATTACAGGAAAAGACAAAGACTAGCAGAGCTTGGACAAGTAGATAAAATGAGATATTGGTGATAAGTATTTTTAGTGATCTCATGACTGCCAGGCCCATTCTATTTCAGACCTTTTAAAGCAATTTAAGGTATCTGGATTTTATTCAGACTGCCAAGAGTGACAATATGCACATACTGCCAATTAGTATTACATACCAAAATTCTAATTGAGATGTAAATATTTTGTACATTTACATAATTCCCAAAATTGTGTATAGCAAATATTTGTGTAGTCAGTTGATACCTCATTATATCTTGAGAAGAAAATGTTTCCATGGAAAGATTAATATATAATAAATATCACACTTAGAACTGTCAATTGTGCTTTCAGAAGCATCCTGTGTTTTTCATTGCCCAGTCTCTGTGCATTTAGTTCTTTGAAATAAGAACTGCAAAGTGTAGCCTTGTAAAATTGCATTGTAATTACAAAGATTGGGAACATAACATCCCTTCTGATGGTAAATGTCTGACCTAATTACAGGTTTATGACAAAGAACGCTAATTTCCTTTCTACTCATATAAAGTCCATTCATAGTATTAAGTGGACCAATGGGGATCTCTGAGTTTTTGGGGGATTTTTTTAATTTTTGTTTTTGTTAATTGGAAATATGAAGGACAGGGGATAATAGTAAGTTGTTACTATTTTTAAGTGCGAAAATGTGCCAAACAGACATTTGTTATCTTTCACTTGCAACTGAGAGTATAGACCATAGACTATATTTTAGAGGTGCTGGGATTTCACAGATCATCTCCAAACGCTTTGTTCAATACAGTGAGAAAGCTGAGACCCGGCAAGGTTAAGTGGCTTGCTGAAGGTGACACAGCCAGTCACTGTCAAACCTCATGGTCAGGTCTGTTATTGGAAGATGGACGTGGGTTCTGTTAGTGGCACATCTCAACATTTGACAACACTCCCAAGCAGGAAATGTTTCCTCATATTTAGCATAAATCACTTCCTCTTCTTACATACTTGGAAGAGATGGAGAACAGCTGGTGCCTGTAATTCTACTTCTCTTATAACTTCATCATTTCTCATCATTTAATTATCATTTTTCCTAATCCTCTTTAAAAATGCCTTGCTGACGAGGATCACATTTGTTGTTTTGTTTTTTATTTTTTTAACCAGAGGGGTACATTTCTAAAGGATGCTTGGTATATGATTCTTAGAACTGGCTACACCATTGCGAGTCCCTTTGTTAAAAAATTACTAAGAATTTTCAAGGTGGCAATAACAGAGCATTAAACCAAGTGTGGGACTACCGGCCTGAAACAGGTTGTGGGCAGTGCCCCTGAGAGTTCCAGATGTTTTGCATGAGATTTTCTTCTTTAAAGATTCATATGCAAACTGTATGCTTAAGTATTTTGATATACAAAGATGATTTTCAGTCTTTCTCTGTTGAAGCTCTTCCTGACATTTCTAGAGGAAGAATGCTAGAATTGCAAAACTTATAAATCAGCAGTGCATGGTCTCCTTGGAATTGTAGTGTCTAGAATGCACGAACTAAGTTACTCAGTTGAGTCCAAACAATTCATCCAAAAAAATTCAACGTCTGCTATATAATTGGGTTTGGTTTTGGGCATTTAACTTGTAGAAGGATGTTTGGAGATTAACTTTTAAAAAGGTATTTTTATTAAGGTGTGTCTACTTTCCCAAAATTTTTGAATGGAAACAGCTTGCATCAGCCTCTTTTATATTAATACAAATCACTTAGGTGGTGACGCAAATGTGTTTTACCAGATAGGTCGAATTTTACGTAAGCGAAATGCTGGTAATTTTTCTTATATGTAAGTGAGACTATAATCTGATGTTTATGTATACATTTTGTATGTAAATTGATTAGCATTTTATTGCATCCGGTTTTTCTATTTGACTAATGTCTACTGCTCATTTAAATAATGTTGAATAAGGGTAGAAGATGGACTTTTTAAATAAATGACATTTGTAGATTTGCATAGAGAAAAGACTAGCCTACTTATTAAAAAAAAGACTAAACAAAAGTACTTCCAAGTCATTAAGCATACCAGAGTGTTAAGTTTTGCCTGCTCATAAATTTTTATGTACTTTATTTTCAAGTATAAAAAAGTTGCAGTTGTATTTCATCACATAAATATGGCAAAAGAACCATATCACATAATCTTTCATTTATATGTAAATATTTATATTGGCACTCTTAGAAATTTTGGCTGTATTATTTATCATTTTATTAAAAACTTACTACATGGTACATGTACATTTTTTACTTTTACATCATGGCATTAGATATTTTTCTAATCTAAAGGTAAATATTTATATAGTGCTATCTTTTGTGGGGGGAAATAGGATTTTTGAACAGTAATGCTATTTGGCTAGGGAATTAACTTTAAAAGATATGTGTTTATTAGAATAAGTTTTAGGAAAAGATTGTGATTCTTTTTTTTTTAATACATTGGCATTGTCAAGTTCTTGCTTTGTAGTGCTAATGTAAATTTTACCAATTGTAGAAGGAATTCAAATTTTCATAGCCTTTTTGTTTTTCATCCTTTTTAAAGAGATAGCGAACAGTGCCACCATCAGAACAGATTGGCTTTTCTCATTGTGTCGGTTTTCTCAAAAAAAAAATCCTTATATTTAAGAAATGGTTGAGAACCACATATATTTAAAGAGACACAAAAACTAATAGGAGATACCAATAAATAATAAAACTGCCTTTATTTTTTGACAAAATCAAATTCATAATACTATGCTTCAAAGGCCTGTTAGTAATTTGTATACTTAACTCTTTCCTAGGTTATTCTAAGTAGCATTAATTGATGTCAGTTTGTCGTCATCATCTTTAATTTGTTATAAGCAACAGTCTCAAAGAATATAAAAACATGAAAATAATCAGATCATCTTGGTCTGAGAACATCTTCCCTAATGTGCATTTTAAGGGCAATTCTTTTATTATACCTTTTCCTTTATATTTGATTTATTTTTTATAATGGGATTGAAAAAGTAAGCTGCCAAGTAAATTATAATTATGGGGATTCCAGAATGTATATTAAAGCATAATTTTTTTCATGGTCTGATACTTACACGATAAGGTATATTTATTTTTGAATGAAAAGAAACCTGGTCCCCATCTTCCTGTTGACATCAAACAGTCCTCTGATATGCTAATCCAGTGTTCGAGAGAGCTCACGCACAGACTTTGTTTGGACCCATTCCAAGTCTGCAAGAAATTATGTGCAAAGAACTGATTTTGCAGCATTGCCTCCTTCAAATGAAAACTGATTTTGACACTGTCTGTAATTAAAAAGACTTAATATTGAAACATGATATGGGAGGTTTTCAGCATTTTAGTAAGACCCTGATTTGCTTCCTAATTACCTGGTCATCTGATTGTTATTCTTTGGGATATAGTGTTACTAATATAATAGCTATTGAAATTGCTAACAAATTTATTTCCATGGTGTGTGGTATAGTAAAGGTTAACCTAAGATTATCAGCTTTTCCTCAAAGACGTGTATATATATATATATATATATCCTACATATATTGAGTGCATATGAGGCAGTAGACATAATCTGTCACTAAGTATAAAGTAGCGATATAAGCAGCTTTCCTTGCACTGTTTTTTCTTTCAGCCTGCCCTCAACTGGTCACAGGTGTAAAAATTGAGAGGTAGTTGTTTTGGAATTTTCTCTAGCAGTTTCTCCATATTCAATAATAAAAAAAATCAAATTGGACTTCCCACAATTTCTCCAGATAAATTGCATGGAAGTATATATTTAAATTTTGATATGTATTTATATATATATATATATATATGTTTTAAAACCATTAAAATTATCTGAAAATTTCATGAAAACCTGTTTAAATGCAATTTTTAAATGTTGGTCATTTATAAATATTGTTGAAAAGGCAACCAATTGCATTTTTGTTTTTGAAAAATAATTTTTATATAATGAATCTTTGTAGGTCTTACGAACCCAAGAACTTTGTTCTTGCCTGAATATGTTATTAGTATAGTCTTCTAGCAAATTAATATAGAGAAATGTACCTCTGGCTTTGTTGTTACTTTAGGAGTCGCCCTCTTAAGTGTAATGGGCCACTCTCTCCTGAGCATCCTGTTGGTGCTCTCTGCTTTCCGCCCTGGCCTTCCTGTAAATTCTTCTTCCATGAAGCTTAGTTTAATTCATTCAAAGCCAGGTGCAGGTTTGACTTGCAACATTGGATGGAAATATTCCTGAACACTTTTTACACAACTCTCTTTTATTTATTTAATTTTTAATGAACTGTGATATTTCAAATCACCAGGGTGGTTCAATATTTAAAAGGAATTCTATAGTGAAGTCTTCTGCCAGGAGAAGAATTGTCTTTTAGTGAACATAATTACCTATAGGTTTCTAGACTTTTTCATTTTGGATTTTCTTAAAAATGAAATTTGACATCTTCCTTTTAAGACAAGAAATTTTTTTATATAGATGTTAATTTTTTGAAATAGTTGGACATCACATAGTGTTACGTGGCTTGTGCTAACTTCAGGTATAATAGGAAGAAACTTAAGCTATTATGTCAGATAAAATTTTTGGAATCACTTCAGCATAAAAGATCATACACTTTTTAGCTGATTAGGTGTTTTTTTGATTTACGGAGTTTTGCATATCTGAATCCATTCTTAAGGCATTTTAGTTTCATAATTCTTATTTTTAATTTTTCAAACAGCATTTTAAGAAGCAGAAGAGGCTAATTCCTGAAAGAACCGTTTGGAAGTACTTTGTGCAGCTCTGCAGTGCCTTGGAACACATGCATTCTCGGAGGGTCATGCACAGAGGTGAGGCGGAGTCATCAGGAACTTCTAGTGGTGCTTTAAAACGGTAGAAGTAATTAAATCATTTAAAATGTCTTTCAGTGACTGGTATCATGCCTTCTTGGGTAATTTATTTCTAAGTTATAATTTTGCTAGAATTATAAACCTTTAAGTAAAGCCGTACTTGGTTTTAAATCAGAATGAAAATTATTTTTCTGCTTGACTCTTCTGAGCATATTACTGGTTATGTTGGTAAAGGAAAAAAGGAAAGCAGTTGAATGTACATAAGGAAGAGTTTTGGTTTTTTTTTTTTTTTTTTACTAATGAACAATGTATATTATGGCCACTTAGATTTTTAAACTTCAGCATTAGCTCTTAATATATTCTTGATTATTAGCCAAATGGTTGGGCAGAGTGTGTTAAGGTTATATCACTCTGTAATTGATCCACTGGTTTTGGGGTGTGAAAATTTTTATTACAATTTATATAAGCAGTTAAGATTTCCAAAGCCATCTAAGTCAATAATTATATGCCTAAAAGTATTGTCATGATTTTACATTTTATTTAAGTATACCAATAAATTAATCTTTAGATATTTAAAATTGCTGTAAAAAGGACACAGATCTATTTTGTGCTTTGAATTTCACAGAGGGTTATTTCAAAATGGAAAACAAAATGCATTTAAAATGGAAATTAATGGTAATCTTCATCATACTACATTGATTATTTGTCAGAGAATTGAGAACTTTGAAATATTAGGGTATATCAAAATTATTAAAAATAAAGTAATTGGTTCCTAATTCTAACTTACATCTTCAAGATACACTTTAAATTCTGCCATGAAAAATAGTTTTTAAAATTCCTAAAGTCACCTCACCTTCTGCTTGACCCCTTTGTTTATTCGCAGATATAAAACCAGCGAACGTGTTCATCACAGCCACCGGGGTGGTGAAACTTGGGGATCTTGGCCTTGGCCGGTTTTTTAGCTCCAAAACCACAGCTGCACATTCTTTAGGTAAGAGACACAGTAGAATTTCTTTCAGTTACTTGTTGTTGTGGTTAAAAACATAAGGGATGTGCCAATTAATAAGCCACGTCTTACATTCTTAATAAAACTACTTAAAAAATCATCAGGTCTGGAGCAGACTCCTACAGCTGTGTGTCCTCTCACATGGCAATCGGGTCCTTCCCTGAACTGGATCTCACGCTGACACCCGGTTAGAAATGCTGATATACCTGGTTTAACGGTTGTCGTGGAGCACTCTTTTCCTTCTACCTTTAACAGTAGTAAGATAAGGTGATTGACTACAATGTGTTTTGGAAGAGGACTTCACCTGGCCATTAAAAAATACTATAATAGTTTGTAAATGTTTACTTATTTTAATAAAATGACATGTGGTTATAAGAATCGCAGAGGGGAAAACCTAAAGATGATCTATAACTAATGAGGAAAATGTTCCCTTAAATTATAAAGTAGAATATATATCTATAATTTATTCATTTTAGAATTAATAATATAGCAGTTTCCTTTGTCCCTAAAATAGAATTAATGTAGCTATAACAACATCACTTTGACAATGGAAAAAAGTTGTCCAGTTTAGAAACAATAGAAATTTATAGGAGGAAATAATTTTTAAATGGAATAATTTAAAGGAAGAGATAGAGAATCTCTTAAAACTCTTCAAATCATATTTTCTCTTTTGAATTGAAGGCTAATATAAAAAGGTGACAACCAGAAGAAAGTAAAAATTAAGGTAAAAATAAGTTGGCTTTAATTTCATGGTGCTCATCTTTTATATTATTTCATTGAAAGCCACTGATTTTTTTGATAAAATTGTTTTTAAATGTGAAATAAAAAACTTTTTAATGGCTTGACGAATAAATGAATTACACTAAATAAAAAGTAGTGAAATGAGCACCTGAATTAGTTGATGAGAGATTTTTTTAAGTTTTTATGGCTTTGTCACTAAAGTTCTGTGTGGTCTTGAACCTGTCATTTAGTTTTTCTATATCAGGAACAGTTCCTGGTACATAAGTAGACCAAACGATCAGTATTCACTGAATTATGAAATAGTGTGTCCCATTTTAAAGAGTGATGGAAAAATAGTGCTTTGTACTTTTCATGGATTTCAATTCTGTCAAGTACTTTGAGAACATAAAATTTCACACTGATGCTAACATTGCTTTTTTTCTCTTTTACTTAATTTTTATAGAGCATAAGAACTTTTTCTGAAATTTGACATGAAATTCCATAAATGCATACATTTGTCCATTATGTATGCATTTATGCAGTATGTACACACTTTAATAGAGTTTTATTTGGGAAATTATCACTTTTGCAATACAAACAGTGAAGGATTTCTGTGAAGAAAACCGTAGACTATTCTAAGCCAGTGCCATTTATCGCTAGTAAAGATAACTGTAACATGTTTTGACTTTATCTTACATACCTGAATGGAATGTCCATGTGATTTACTTAGAAATGCTGGGTTACAGTTCCAGACACACAGTCGCATACACCTGTGCAGAAACCTGTGTGTTATTTACATGCTGCTCTGCAGACTTTCACTCTGAGCATACTGAAGTCATCCAGCCCAAACGATATAGCACAGTATATGAAACCCAAATCTTAACAGTTTTGGAAGTGGATGTCTTTGGCTTGCCTGGCACTGCATTGCTAAAGTTTTAAACAGAATTTACAAACACACTTGCATCTCCAAATTTAGGTGATGTGCTAGTCCAAATTATGTGATATAGAAAGTAAAATTAATTTTAATAGATTTAATAATGTATTAAGAATTTCTAACATCAACTTTTATCAAAACTGACTCTCTCAGGGTTATGTGTGTATGTGTGTGTGTGTGTGTATATATGTGTGTGTATATATATATAAATAAACTACATGTTGATGCCCATAATGCTCTGCATTCAAAGACACACCTGAGATACAGCCAATGGAGAAGTACAAATGAGACTGTTTCCCTTATGGTGGATGAATCAATAGAAAAATAATTTCTTTCACATGCACTTTTGTTTTACATACTATTTTGAGAAAAAAAAATCCTTAAAATAAGAACATTTCTTTTATCCCTGCTTTTCTTCTCTGTGAAGTGAAGATCTTAATAGTTTAAAACTAACGTTCACTAAGCAAAGCTCATTGATCACCAGGAATTAAAGTTTGGACTCTAGCCTGCTAAGGCTCTTTCGGCCCAATAAAAATTCTATTTAAAAGAGTTAAGAAAAATTCTCTGCTAACACAGAATATATATATATGAAATAACAAGGGTAGAAATCCTGTCATAGGCTTTTTTTTGTTGACAAATTGGCCCTGATTATTACTTTTAAAGTATTATTACTGTCCTACATTAATTGTCATATTTTTTAAGAGCAAATTTAAGTTTCCTTCTAAGACTTGGTACTGAAGTAATTGAAAATATGACAACCTGTGCAAATTTATTTTGCTTATAGAAAACATGATAGAACTATAGATTTTATTGTATGTTGATTCATTTTTTTAATTTTACTGAGGATAAAATATGTAGGGCAAGATTTATCTATAAAACAGGTCTAAATTTTAGTAGAACTACAAATAATTGAGATCTATGTGTAGTTCATAAAGAAAAATCTGAATAAATTTACTTTAAATGACTTTTATCCTGGAGCCAAATTTCTTTAATTTTGGATAGGAGATGTTTTCAGGAATTGAATTTTAAAATGAAAGGATATATAGGATTTTAGAAATTTATACTTTTTTCAAAATATATTTATACTTTTTTTAAAATGTACTTTTTTGTAAATCATCCTAGCACTCTGGGAGGCCAAGGCGGGAGGATTGCTCGACGTCAGGAGTTCGAAACCAGCCTGAGCAAGAGCGAGACCCTGTCTCTACTATAAATAGAAAAAAATTAATTGGCCAACTAATATATATAGAAAAAATTTTCCGGGCATGGCGGCACATACCTGTAGTCCCAGCTACTCAGGAGGCTGAGGCAGGAGGATTGCTTGAGCCCAGGAGTCGGAGGTTGCTGTGAGTTACCTTTTGGAGGTGGATAGTAGCATGCATGGCAGTTCTTCACAGACTGCAAATCATCCAGCTCCCCAAGGTCTTACACACATACATGTGCATGTGAGCTGTTCCCGTTCTAGAGCTGAGGACATGAAGCACAGAGAGGTTGACGGGCCACATGGCTAGGAGACAGTGTGTGGCCCTGTGGCTTCCTGTCAGGGTTGTGTGCTCTCCCACACGTTCACATTCTGTTTGTGTTTTATTATATCAGTACTTCGTGGCATCTTCTCTTACTCTGTTGCCATTTTCCGGTTTGTTGTTAATTCAGTTTGGAATCACCTTATTCTGCTTTGTTACCTGGCTTAGGGGCCTCAATAGTTTGTTGTCTCTCCAGGACTCAACGGCTCTCACTGCTGTTCCAAGATTCAGAAACAAACAGGAAATAGTCCTTTAGGATATCAAAGTCTGCCTTCATGATTGTTTCTCTACCAGCAACTTTAGCTCATATTTCTAAAGAAGTAGCTCTTCTAAACTAAAAGCTAAAACTTTGCCCAAACCTGTGAAATCGGAACACGGGAATCAAGTCTTAATTTTTCTCATATTGCAAGAGGCAGAATATACTTTTGGTGCATTTCTGGCTCTTAATTACTCTGCAGTCTTCTTCTAGCAAATATGAATATTCTCACTTAGAAGTAACTTACTAAGAGATCAAGTATGTTCACCTTTGAATATTTAAATATATAACAGAATAATAGAACAAATTTATATATTCTAAGTGTATAATTTCTAGTCAAATCATATCAAACTATGTTTATTTCCTATAATAATGACCCAGAGGAATCCTCTGTTGCTACTACCAGCAATAACAACAGTAGCAACGAATTTGTATACTGTGTAGAGGATTTTATGATTTCCAGGCAGTGTCACAGCACTTTGCTCCTGTGTTCTTCAGCATTGTGCAGTGGGTAGAGTGGGTGCTAACAGGTCGGGACACTGAGATCACTCTATTCAATACTGACTCTGACACTCCACCCCGTCTTCACAATTCCTAATCACCCTGTTTTAATTTTTCCTTTTCCCCAAGGACTTATCTTCTGACATGTCATGTGTAATTTACTTATTATAATGAGCACTTACTGTCTTTCTCCCAGCTAAAATTTAAGCTTTATGAGGGCAGAGATCTTTCTGTTTTGGTTCTTTGGTTTGTTTATTTATTTTTCATTTTTATACTTAAAAAAAATTTTTTTTTTTAATTTCAGCATATTACGGGGCAACAAATGTTAAGGTTACATATATGGCCTTTGCCCCACTTGACTCAGAACTTCAAGCGTGTCCATCCCCCAGACGGTGCACACCGCACCCATTATGTGTTTATATACCCATCCCCTTCTGCCCCCTCTCATCTGTCCAACGCCTGATGAATATTATTCCTATATGTGCATATAAGAGTTGATCAGTTAATGCCAATTTACTGATGATTACATATGGTGCTTGTTTTTCCATTCTTGAGATACTTCACTTAGTAGAATGGGCTGCAGCTCTATCCAGGGTAATACAAGAGGTGCTGTATTACCATTGTTTTTTGTGGCTGAGTAGAACTCCATGGTATACACGTACCACTTTTTATTAATCCACTCATGTGTTGATGGGCACTCGGATTGTTTCTACATCTTTGTCGTTGTGAATTGTGCTGCTATAAACATTCGAGTGCAGATATCTTTATTATAGAATGTCTTTTGTTCTTTCGGGTAGATGCCCAGTAATGGGATTGCTGGATCAAATGGTAGATCTACTTGTATCTCTTTGAGATATCTCCATATTGCTTTCCACAGAGGTTGAATTTATCACAGAATGCCTAGAAGAAGGCATTACTCATAATAGATGTTCAATAAATATTGAATACATGAATGGGGCTTGAAGATAGGCTACACATACAGGGTGAATTTTACTAAATATATCAGTATAGGTTAGATTCTGCTACAATGAGAAGCAATACAAAAAAAAAAAAA